TTACATGTTGAAGTTTGTATTGTTTTAGATGCAGATACATCCTTTTCTACAAATGATCAAGCGTATACTAATAGAATGCTGTGTCATTGCATTTTAACAAATTATTTTCTTATTTGTAAAATACATTTAATCATCTATGCGCGTTTGTGTTTCTAATAAGCTAAAACATGCAGAATGTGACGATTGTTACTCGATTAATTGTCAGAACAATCGTCAGAATTCTTGATTACTGAAATCATCGTCAGCTCCAGCCCTGCTAGTTATGACTGGAAGACGGGACATTTCCAGCCGGCTATTTCTGGAAATGAAAGCTTGACCAGGTTTTCCTGTTTCATTCCAGCAAAAAGAAGGCCTAACATTTCACTGTGGAGACATGGTCATTGACAAATGTTCCACAAACCGTCGCAACACGCAGAGAGCAATTTACCACGCTCCCCAGTCAGTCTAATCTTCAAAGGATGCTGTTATTGTGGGGGGTGGCTTACATCCCTCTCTATCCACACACACACACATACACACACATACACACACAGTCCCCGGCCCCATCCTGCCACCAAGTGTCAGGTAGTGTTAGATTATAGCTCATGTCAAACGAACACCCCTCTGAAAGTGGCAGTGCTAAAAATGTTGATGTGCAGGTTTGGCTTTTTTTTTTTATTTTTTATTTTTAAAAGAGCCAATATAGAAATGATCTGCTCGTCCCGGGGCCCTCGCAGCCTGCTGAGGTGAACCCAGACAGCTCCAACCTCTAAAGGGATCAAAGTCCAACTCCAGCTGAGCAGACTGCTTGTAGCTACAAAGTACTGGGGAGGGAGAGCACCGACGCTCTTTAGCCAATCGTAGGGCGCTAAAACTGCTCAGATTAGATTGTGCTGCAGCGAAAGAGGAGACATGTCATCAAGGGGGTTAAAAAAAAGAAGAGAAAAGAAATGAGGAGAGAGGAACAAGTGGGATGACAGAGGGAAGGAGGTGGGTGCTGAAGCCGAGAGCAGAACAGAGGGGGACGAAACTCTGAGCCAAACTTGCTCCCCGTCTGGTGCCAACACATTTCATCCCATTGTCTCTCCTTTTCTTTTTTTTTTTGTCTTGTTTTTTTTTTCTATTTTTTCCCTTCCTGTTTCCAACACGCTCTGCCAGACACGGTCCACAGCCCAGATGAAGCTCTGGGCCACTAGTTTGGAGGAGATATAAGGCTCCAGCAAAGCGCTCGCCCGTCTGCCAAGCCTTTGCGATAACCGACTTTGCCAAAAATCGCCACTGTAATAATAATTTGCTGTTTTTTTTAACGTGGTTTGAGCGAAACGAGCGGCGACTGCTTCCACCTCGGCGCTGACGTTCCGCCGCCTGCGAAGGCCAACGCAACAGCTCGACGATAAACAGCGAGAGAGAGAGACAGGCCTGCGCCGTTCGCATTCCAAGATTGCTTTTGTTCATGGGCATTAGGGCTGTGTAATGCAATTTATTTTTGATGAATGGCTGTAAATCTTTTGCTTTTATTCCTTAATCCCCGAAAGCTCAATGCGCAAAGTGTTACCGCACTAATAAACTCTCTGCAAGCAGAGTTCTGGAATTTCATTTCAAACACCTTAACTCCCCCAGGTCCATTTTTTCCCCCCTGTGCGTGTGTTTTGTTGGACACTTGGCAGGTACATGTAAATGACTGTATGTCAAAGTGAAAATGCATGTCAGCTCTGTGGGCTCCCGTGAGCTGGTGATGAATGCAATTAGTTTCACATCGCTAATGCATAAATAATGACTCCCTCCGGAATGCGGCGAGCGTCCTCTGTCAAAACGCTGTCGTACGCAGCTCTGGATCTCTCCCTCTCCCTTGAGCTCTTTCCATCTTATAGGGTAATAGAGGTTGGCGAATGCATACGTGAAGCGCAGTTTTTGGAACTGGTGAAAAGATAGTGCCATTATTATTCTCTATCAGTCACGTTGTTTTGTGGCTTTGTTTATGTCTTAGTAAGTCATTAGCAGCTGGTGATTCACTGGCAGAAGAATGTGTTGCAATGGACTTCGTAAAATTTGCATTAGGACTACAATTCGTTTGCCAAATCTGCAAAGTTTACGACTGTCTAATTTAGTTTCGTATTATTTTAAAAAGTAGGATGAGTGTAGTCAGTAATAAATGGATTCATTAAAAATATGTCAAATTTTAAAGTTGTTACCATTTGCGAGTTGACTATATGTCAGAGAGAGGACTTCTGCTGTCTATAGTTGTCAAGAAGCAGATTTCACTGTCTGTTAGTGATGGGATCCGATTAAATAACAAAGCTATATATCCACAAAATAAGCAACATTTTCAATTCAAACACCATAAATGATAGAATAAACCGACATATGAGCTCAGTAATAAAGAAAGTTGTTGTTTCTAATGTTATTCAGGTTATTTAACCATCAGATTGTTTTACAAGAACTCATCATTCGTGGAACTTATTTAGAAATGTTGACTCTAGATGCTAACATTAGGGACGTCTCTTCCCCAACACTACATTTTTTGCATTGAGATGCTATTTTATACTTGATTAGCTTCGCTGATAGGCTAACTCCTTTTAGCACAACTTGAATACAATAGTCTTGTTAGCGTATCTCCAGATTGTTTTTGAAGCAAAAGTTTACCTCCAGCGGGCTGAGAGAAGTGGCTTTGTCGTCCATCGCTGTTCGCGGATTTCCCTTGTGCGTCAGATTTAAGGGAAATACCTGAAACATACAAATATAAAGGTTCCAGTCAGAAAAAAAAGTGAGGAAATTGTGTTATAATTTTAAAAGTCCTAGCCTTACTTTATACACTAAAGACCTGTTCTATAAATATTCCACATAAGGACAAGTAAATGCAGCGGTATTCTGTAAGAGTAGGTAGAAATTCCCACAAATAGAAAAAGCCTTACCAGAGATACTCAATACTGTGATGAGATTTAAAAAGCAAAGGTTTGGGTCCTGGAATGGAAAATACAGACAAATAAAGGATGCCCCAACAACCCCTTGGTGAAAATAATGTTCAAACTTCACTTGACATTGGTCTTTTATAAACCAAGAGTCTAAACATCCTCGTTAATGTCACATAATAACAACCACGGTGATTCATGAAGAAAATTCATCACAGTCAATGTTCTTCTCATATCCCGATTTAAATTGTGATATAATATGAGACCAATGAAGGGCCTGATACACAATTTTGATCAGGCCCTTCATTGGTCTCACCTCCTCAGATGGCCGCCATGGCGCCAACAACCTCCAGGATAAACGCGTCTGCACCGCAAGACGAAATGAGTCCCGCCAGCTGTTCTCAAAATGTCAGCCGTGTCCCTCAGAGAACGCGGCTCCTGTTGATTGAACAAAACACAAAATCAGAAAAACACACTCGTTCCAATCCGTCCTCCTGTCTTTTTCCATTCTCCAGTAAATAATTAATAAAAAAATAAAAGTAAAAAAAAAATCCATAGACCACACATGGATGGGCGCGTGGCCCTCAGCCCGTCTACTCATCACCATCGCGAGCTAATTTATTAATGATAAATGTACTGGATTTGAACGCTGACAGGATGATGAATGCGAGGGAAAGTGTGAGTATGCGTCACGCGTGAGGGACTTCGGTGGATGTTGTTTTCTTTTCTGTCAATGTAACTAAATGACAGATCCAGCGTGCATCTGCAAACACAGTAGTTTACCTCCGCTAGCTTACATTCGAATTCTGCTGATCAACACTTGCTCTGACCCGTTCCCTACCTTCCCGTCTGAAGAACGCAGTCGGAGTCGGACGTGCAGTTTGCCCGGCTGGGAGCCATACGTTGTTCGTCCTTGCATTTCGTAATGTTTTTTTTTTTGTCCCCTTTATTAGAAGCCACAGTCCAGGTTCATTCTCTCCTTCTCTCCTAATGTGCAACGTCAGCTGCAACTGTGTAGCTCAGTTCACAGTTTAGTGCACAAGATGTTGCCTTGTCAGGACTCCACAGTATTTTAAGGGGACGGACAAAAAAAAAAAGAAAGAAAAAATGAAAGAACATCATTAATTCTTGTCAACAAAGAGCATGTGCTTCTTATTTTGTCGTTCCGTATACCATATGGGGCAATACATGGGCTTCACTGTGAGTCTAACAAAGGACCGGGATGCTCTGTGCTTTTCTGATTAGAGTCCAGCTGAACCCGCTTGCTGACTCAGAATCCAATTAAATAGATCAGTGGATTATTTACATTAAGCTTTCCTCCTTCAGAGCTAAATCAAGCTCCAGACCAATCGATTCATCCATGTCCAGAAACTTTAGCAGTTCTGCTGTACGGCATCCAGAAGTTGACTGACCCAAGGGAATTAAAGGACCCCAAAATTGACACCTGGCTTTTGGGAACATCTGTAGAGTCAGTGAACGCCTTCGAGACTGAAACTCTTCAGCAAGGTGTCGCTTTCATTCAGCTTTGGTTGCTGTTGCAGCTGCTGCACGTTCAAAGCAGCTTTCCTAAGACCAAGTGTTGAACTTCTGCTAACTGGAAAGATATTGAGCAGTTTAAGCCATACATGGAGTCAGACATTTTGTTCCAGTTTGTTGGGTTTAAGATTCTTCACAGATTGCCACTTTGAACTAGCCTATAGGAAGAAACAGGAAATACTAAAGGTTGCTTTACACAGGAATGAGTTAATGACTTTACAGTAGAGAGCAACGTTTGCTTTGGGTCGCCACAAGTCAGCTAAAGTCCGTAACACAGTGGTCCCTGGTTCGATTCCCAGCCCCAGGTCATTTACAATATTTGTGCTAATGCATGATGTTAAAATGTGATTCTTTTTAATCGTATCAGTCATGGACCATAACTGAGGCAGCAGTCAATCGTTTTTCACAATTCTCAAACTTTGACTGGTTCTCTTCACCAAGAGATCTTCCTATCAACTCCTTCATTTCCCCATTGGAGGAAAGACTCACCACAGCATGATGATGTTCTTTTGGGTTGATACGCAGTGTTAGTTTTCTAATTCTTGTTGCCTTTTGTGTGTCGGCCAACAGGTTTTTGGTTGTGTTTGCTGTGCGCCCCAACAGACTAGATGAACACTGGAAATAGAGAAACTTCTGATGGTTTTCTTCTTTGCACTCATCGAAGGGTAAGTGGAATCTGTTTGAACTTCACAATTACACACCGCTTTGTGTTCGTCTGTCACATAAAGCTGAAAGTTTGTGTCTGCGACGTGACAAAACGTGTGAAAAGTTCAAGGTGTGAAGTTACTTTTCCAAATCATTCCGTCGCCTCAGAGGGAAAATGTTGTACAAGCACACTCTGCACCGAGTTTCAACTCTTACATACCTGAAAATTATTTGAAGTGAAGAAAAAAAAAAAAACAACCAACAACAATCAAAGTAAATGTTGTCTTTTGTGTGTTTGCGTTTGTGTTTTGCAGATCCGCACGGTGTTCTCACGCAAAAGTCAATAATTCAGCTCCTCGGCTTACGTTACCCTGGAAACGGTGTCTAATAAGTGAAAACATTGGAGCACACATCACAGACACAATGTTTTGAATCTCACAAGTTGCTCACTGGTATGGTTTGCATCACCACCGCAGAACAGAGAGAGGCAGAAAGAGAGAGAGAGAAAGAAAAAAAAGGAGACTATTTAAAGCTGAACAGGCAGTTCTGCTCATCTGAGAACATTACCACAGTAAAACAGCAGGGGAAACTTTTACCCTGTCTGTCATTTGCAAGGTTGACATTACTGAAGATGTTGGCACATTAGGTGAGATCTCGTTAATAATGCTCAGTGGGCATTGTTAGACTGTGGGGCTTACGCTGCTTAAGCCCAATTACGTGCGAATTAGCGGAATACACGCGGGTTCCGTTTGATAGATAAATCGGAGCATGCGTGTTATGAGAGAGACGTCTGGGAGTGGCGTTCACCAGGCGCAGTTGGACAACGGATAATTGCGTTCTGCATTTGCTTATTTATTTATTTTTTTTTCAGTCTTCAGAAATGAAACTGCACTAGAGTCTTGCTCGCTGTTGATGCACGTGTTCATAAAGCACGATGGTTTTCATAACGAAGCGCTTTGTGAGAGGTTTGTTTTCGCCACCAACTCCGGTTGGTGTGAGATGCGTTCAGAGGTCGTACGCCCTTCAGGGAGAAACATATAAGACTCCTTTTTTATTCGAAATGGAAAAGTTTCACCGAAAGAGGAAAAACCCACAGAAATAAAGAATTAAGAAAGTATCACGTTTTCAACAAAATGACCTTTGAAAGCAGCTTTGCTTGTGAAGGTTACGTCTCATACAGGAGCGAGGAAAAGCTGTGCTTGCTGAAACCTGTATGTCTGACAGGAAAAATGGTTTTAATTCTACAATTTATTTGTTGATATACATAAAAATGCCTTTTTCATTATGATGCAGATTGTAAACAAGATTTATACAGATTAAGTTTTACTTTGAAATGTAAATCTAGGATTTTACATCCACTCGTCATCGGCTTGATAGACACATTCATTTGTAGCTTTTAATGATCTATTTGAGTTCTTTATTTCAATTTCTGTTTCAGGTTGTGATACTAATGCAACATATCATCACCTTCCTAAAATAATGGCCTAAGTCGTTTTTTGGGTAACCACGTTTGCCAAAAAACGACTTAGGCCATTATTTTAGGAAGGTGACGATATGTAGCTTTGCTTAATGTTAGCTTGATTTATCCATAGCAAACCAGTTTTGACATCTGTTAGGGATCACTGTTCATCATGTTTCAATTATCTGGCCTAACTTGTCCCTGTGAGATGGAAAGAAATGCGCTCAGATTCTTAGGAACAACCCAGAAACCTCCAAGGCTATCATAAACTGGACATGCTTTAACACCAGTGTTAATGTACACGGTGAAGTTAGTTTAGGTTTTGAAGTGACATAGTGGTGGAGTAGACGCTCCTTATGCGACTGCTGTTACTCCAGTACGGCGAGGTTTACTGTGTGATAACTGAATAAAGGCCACTTAAATCACAAGCAAAGATGAAAACAAGATCGTTGGGACGGCAACCGAGGTTACGTTCACAATGCAGGTGAACGCGACCCATAAGCAACCTATATCTGATCTTTTCACAGCAGTCTGAATGGACAAATTTAGATTTTTTTCACCACCAAAAATAATAATTTGCGTCACTTCCAAATGTGGGACTAAATCGGATACGTATCTGATTGTTTGCTAAACGTTTGCAGTCAGAGCGGTCATGTCTCATTTTAAGTTGCTGACGCGAGACGTGCATCATAATTCTGAACCAGCAGAAGTGAGACGCGGTAAATCCACATGTAAACAATGGCTGAACATCATAACGGTGGACGACGATCCTAAAGACATTAAAACTGGTTTTGGAGTTGATAAAAAAAAAAAAGCTAACGTTTTGTTTCTGGAGTCTTAGACTTGTTGAAGAATTATGGACCAAAATGTGTCTGTGCCACATTTTAATGAACCCCACCGTTTCCTTGTCCATTCTGAAGTTTATGAATGGTTTGTAAAACCATTTTTTTTATCCTACAGATTGTAAGAGAATTATTTATTAAATGAGTAGGTTCCTATGGCTACTATTTAAACACTGTGAATTAGAGAAAATCTACAATACTTTAACATTTATGCCACCAGTTACAGCTTTTGTTGTCAAACAACTTTCATCGCTGAATTGAACCGTATTGAATGGTGTAACGTCATGGAACGTTTTTGCACCACAGACATTTTTTTGAGACATCGCGCCGTATTTCTTTAAGATTCCATGTTGTCTGAAGAAAATTAACTTTCCTTGTTCTAAAGAAATAAAAGTGACCTGGTTCTCTGAGGACAGCAAAAATAATGGCTCTCTGACATTGAGTAAATACGGCATTAACAACAGATTGTATAATTGTTCTCAGCTGCTGTAAACACAAATGCACCAAGATTCAAAAGCCTAATTAAAGTTGCTTTCAGGGTCACTTTCCTGTTTCAGAAGTCTGTAACTACGAGCACACGCTTTTCTTTAGCAGCTAATTACGTCAGACTGTCACATGTTTACATGTTTCTTTAGTTATTCACAGCTTGAAAGGAAAAACTGGGCATATAAAAATGAATAACTACGAAAGAGGCACACTGATTTATCAGCTGCTTTTGAAATTCTAAGGGTTTTCCGATTTAATCAAATGAAGTTTTTTCCCCTTTCATTATTACATCACTGAGAGAAAAAAATCTCAGTAATATTAATTAAAACTTCAGAGATAACGCCATGTTTTTCCTAATTATTACTATTCAACACAAAAACGTAATTCCTTATTATCACCCTAGTAAGACATAGTTCTATTTCTTTAAGGGATACTGTTTTTTTTTTTTTTTAATTAAGAGGTTGAGAGGAGCTAATAACATTGCTGCAGCAGATCAGCCTCATGTTGGATAAACGCTATGCAGTTCCTCCTTTAGATTTAAGCTAATGGTAATTAAAGAGGTGGAAAGATCAAAGCGGCTTTCAGCCATCTTAAGGATAGGGAAAGGTGGCCTTGACTCAAAAGTTTAATGTCTGAGAGGAAAGGTTCTCAAAGAAAGAGAAAAAAAAAGGTACAACTGGCGTGGGAACATTCCTAGCTATGCCCATTATGCCATTTTCTGTAAATTATCATTATTGGAACCGTTTCCTTCTACTGGGTATTTTAAGTAATTTATGAATTATATGTCTTTTGTGAATGGTTGCTAAGCCAAGCTGCTGCAGTGACCTTGAGCAACCGCAACGTACTTGTATCGATTCATTTTGTCAGACGCAAACACTGTTGCAAAAAATGTTGCGATTGTTGCTCTTCTGATGTCTTTTTTTCATTTTGTGCTCTGATTGGCAGTCAATGCTTAGCCTAACTGCTAACATGCTTACATAGAGATGAAAAGAGAAAAGCATAAACCAGCCAGAACTAAAGGACTCCTCTGAATAAAAGTATAAACTTATTAAAACCAGAAAACCCATCCAAGCGGTATGTTCCACAAACACCTGTAATACTTTTTCCAAGGTTGTCTAAAGGATCAAAATATATACCCTATATATTACATACGTCTTTTCATAACACTTGTTTTTAATTGAAGCATTTTTTTCCACCCATTCTGAACATCAATGCCCACTGGGCTGATGAATGCGGTCTGATTACTGACGAGGCATGAGAGAGAGAGAGAGAGAGAGAGAGAGCTGAGTTTTTTTGTTGAAACCGATCTTTTTCTGTTGCAACATTTCTAATGAACAACGTCTAGCCACCATTTCATTTATTGCCTTGGCTTTTTGTCACGTTTGTCTGAATGAAATAAGTCATGTTCTCAAGCACGACTTTTTCAGGCTTTATGTCAAAGTAAATAAAAAAGGAATGCAATTTTAATCAGGAAAGTCTACAGTAATGGATGCAGTGACTGCTGGCACTAGAATGTTTCCACCATTTTAATAATTCTGACCTTAAAGGGGCGGTATATGATGTATTTTCCAGGCCTGTTGTGTCAATTTATAGCAAAGTGAAGTAACCATGTTACCTTCAGTTGTTATAAAAATAAGTTCTATATAAAATATGTATAACAAATATGATTTAAAAAAAATGTAGTTCCTGATTTAACGCCTTGAAATTGGACCTCTGTCTCTTTAAGGAACTCCTACTCTTTCTGAAACTCCGCCTTCAGGAAGCCGGCACAACATGGCTTTTCTATTAACCCTTTAACAACGTTTATACCAGTGTTTCACTGAGAAGCAGCTCCTATAATGAGCTCAGCAAATGCTCGGTTCCACCAGGTGTTTGCTAATTGCGGCTGGCTAGTCGGAAGGAGCTGAGTGGGGGAGTCAGCCTTGACAGCTTGGAAACTGTAGGTCTGAGGAGGAGCTTCCTTCTCGGAGGCGGAGCTATGTCCACCCAGGCGTTTTGTACAGCTGAATGGTTGTGATTAAAAAATTTCTCAAACACGGATGAAATAATCACAGCAACACTCCAGGTATGGTTTTGATTAAGGACTAGCTTCATAACATGATGTAAAGATAATAATAATAAAAAAAAGATGACTATTTTTGTTATTCCTCCTCTGCGTCAGAACAATTCAGGGCACTTTGACAACTTTTAGTTGAGTTTTAAAAAGTCTTGTGATCTCCAGCACAGATAAAATCAGAAGCCTACCGACATATACACACACACACACACAACGGGGTGCCTGCCCTCTTCCCGTACATGCGCTGACTTAAATGGAATCTTTAATGGACTTGGAGGGTCATCACTGGCAGGCTGGGCGCGATAGCATCGGTACTGTGGCTATGACACCACTGGGCCAACTGAAGCGGCACTGGAATCAGACTGGACTAATCTGCCCACAGGGCTGACGCTATCTGCAGGCTCATCTCTGCTAGGAATGAGATCCCTCTCACGACCTTCACCAGATTCTTATCATAGTTGGACAAAAAAAAAAATCCTTTATTGAACTGCTGAATCTAAGTGTGTGTGTGTATGTGTGTGTACAACCTCTGGAGATTGTAAGGACGGCTGTCAAGAGAATGTATGAATGTGTGTGTGTGTGTGTGTGTGTGTGCGTAAGGAATATGCTGAACATAGCGAGCTGTACAGCTCAAACGGTATTAAGTGCCCTCTATACTCAGCATGATGGCTCTAATCAGTACAGAAAGCTGGGTCAGCTTTGGGAATTTATTAAATATTTAAGGGTTCACCACAAATCCTCCATGTTCCTTGTTCTGTAAGTAAGCGAGTATTAGATCTGTGGTAACTCTGCAGCTGCCAAACACAAAATAGCAGCAGAAAATACGTGTGGCCCTAGAACGCTGGTAAAAAAAATAAAATAAAAAACGTTAAAGGGTTAAAAGAGGAGCCATGTTGTGATGACTTCCTGAAGGTGGAGCAGGAGCTTCTTAAAGAGACAGGCTGGATTTTAATAGGAACTTAGAAAGATATTCTTAAGAAGATGCTGTCTGAAAATGTACTGCTAGGTCGTTATTGTAAATCAGATTTTTTTCTTAATAATTCACCTGGTTAAAGCTGCAGTATGTAACGTTTACAAAGAATATGTTTTTTAAATATGTGCTGAAGCTGTCAACATGTGACAGTGCAGTATGAGACAGATAATCTGTGAAAGAAAAAATCAAGCTCCTCGAACTTCTCGAGTGTTGACTACAAACAACCAATCACAGCCAGGAGCAGGGTCTTTGTGTTGTTAATCAACCTCCATTTGGTGCTGCTCACACCCTGTCCTACGCTGCAGCTAGCATAGCCTGTTGCGAATGCTCATGCTAGTCACGTAAATGGTCTTTCTGTAACTAAGTTGTTTCTCCGCCATTCGCACATTTGTCAGCGAGTACATGGGGTTGATTGACAGCGTTAAGACCCGCCTCCTGGCTCTGATTGCCTGTTTCTGACCAGATTCTTCAGACGGCAACAGAAGCTCAGGGAGGACTTAGAGGAGATTGATCTTTTCACAGATTTTCTGTCTTAACTATTATGTAAAAAACTTTTCTTTCCAAAATAAAAGCTACAAACTGTGGATGCAAATAAAGGTTAAATAAATAAATGAAAACTGACTCGAGGGATAATTTCCTTTTTGCATCCGACATCACATTTCGAGGCACTTGATGCAGCCGGCCTGTTTTTTGATAATCTGTGAGAACCAAAGTATCCCCGGCTTTAACGTGGTTTTGATGAGCAGCTTTTCCAGGAATTTAGCCGCTGTGGGGTGTGATGGCCACAGATCCGTAACTATCGAGACATGTGACATTTAAATCAGGCTGTGAGCCGCCGTAGAGATTTATGGTTTGCAGACAGAGTCTCACTTCACGCTGTAATATACCCCCTGTTTTTTTTTTTTTTTGACTCAATAATTATGGATTACAAACCCGACGTTGTGACGGACACACGAGCAGCTGCAGTCGGAGCAAATTGAAAAGTGTTAATCAGAAGCCCAAATGTTTAATTGCAGAAGCAAACAGAAAACTCAATTTGTGTGTTTTTGCTTTTGTCTTCCTAAGCATCGCTGCCTCTCTTTGTTTTCTTTTTGTTTTATTGTTTTTTTTTGCACCTGCAATGATCGATTAAAAACAAACCCGGCTCTTTCAGCGGAGAGACACAGTTTAATGGCCCTGACACAGAATTAAATTGTGTTTGCCGCATTGTCACAGTTTTAATTTTACGAACGATTTGCTATAATTTCGGCCTGCCCTAGCGAGACCCGGTCACGTTTTCCCCCCGTTTCTTTCTTCTTCTTTTTTTAAAGGCATTCAGAAAAACTCGACTCTTCCATAACGTCTGGATGAAAGGCCGGCGGAGGAGAGCTACTAAAACTTCGTTCTGATTCTCATTTGTTGAGAAAAAAGGGGAATATTGTTTCGAGATTGTCCCAGTTAACCCATTCTGGACCTTCGAGATCAGAATTTGCTTTCAGACGGGGGAGAAAGAGACAATGGGGGCTTTCTCTTGTTGCGGCGAGACGATCTGCTCTGAACGTCGAACGTGGCTGATAAGAGCACATGACTCAGCTGTGTTTCCTCTTTATCACAGTAAGCTGCCGCAGAATCCATTATCTGGCTCCTTCAATACCACCTCTGACAGAATGAGAAACCGGGGGGGGAGAGGGGGGAAGAAGAAGGAAAAAAAAAGAGATGGATAGAACTTAAAGGAGATTTGATTTTGATGGAAGCTCTCCTGCTCTGTCCTGAGCTATGAATTCAGACGTAGGTTTTGCACAGCTGTGTGGAAAGATGCGGTGACATCTTTGCATTAACGATGTTTTTGTTTTTATATATAAAAGGATTGAATGTGTACTTTTTTCTTTATGTGTGTTCACTGGAACGTCAAAATTAGTTCATTTGGAGCTAGAAAGTGAGATATTTACTCAAGAAAAGAGTCACAATCTCACAGTATCTTATTTTCTGTAATTGTTCATTTGAAACTCGACTACTTTAGAAAAAAAGACAAGCGATAAAGAGTGCAAAAATTGCAAAAGCTCATTTCCAGAGAGAAAAACCTCTGGTATTGTTTCTATTATCAAACAATTTGCCAGTTCTGGTTTACTTAAAGGGGCAGTAACATGTAAAATTGACTTTTTTGAGTGTTATATCATGTTATAATGTTATTCCCTGAAAAAACAAACCTGGAGTGTTGCTTTGATTCTTTAGTCATGTTTTAGAAATCCTTTAATCTCCCATGGCAACCATTCAGCAGGTCAAAACACCGGGGTGGACCTAGCTCCGCCTTCGAGGATGAAGCTCCTCCTCTGAGCCACAGTTTCCAAAATTCAGAGCTTCCACCTCACTGAACTCCTTCAGACTAGCTGGGAGCAATCTGATTGTGATGGCTTCCTGAAGGCAGAGTTTCAGAAAGAGAAACAATTTCTTAAAGAGACAGAGGCCCAATTTCCATGTACATAATCACAGTCAGTTTCTTTTAAGTCGTATTTGATATATCCAGCTTTTATATAACAAGTGAAGGTAAGAACTACTTGATTTTGGTATAACTAATTAGCGCACTGTGTAAAAGTACTCGCTCCTTTCCGTACTAATTGAGTTTTTGTTGTTTTGTCATGTTGGTCCAACAGTAAATACTTCCTTAGGGCCTTGGGAAATTGGTCCTCAAAACTTTCCATCCTGTCCTCTTGAACTTGACTTCGGCATTTTGGCTCGACCTCATATAGTCCTTTAGTTTTGGTAGTTTTAAACATAAGGTCAGTTAAAAATATGTTTTTCGTGAGTACTTGTGTATTTTTTGCAAATAATTGTCTTTGTTAATGTACACTTTTCTACTGCGTTACCACCAAAATAAAATCATGCAATATTTAAATTGTTTGGAGCAAAAAAGATGTTTTTTTGAAAAAAGGCAGCAGCATGAATTCGTTAAAAAGGACAAAAATAAATTCCCTCAAAACAACAGTCACTCCGATCAGATCAACATAATCCCAAATTTGTGTTACTTACTTTCTCAGAAATTGTGTGTGTTCATTGTTTCTTCCCCTATCAGCGCTGGCGCTGGGATAAAAGCTGCTTCTTGAGTCTGTTTGTTCTGGCTTTAATGGCTCTGAACCGTCTGCTCCAGGGAAACCGTTCAAACACAGAAAGTTCAGCGTCAGATGAATCTCGTAGAAAGTTTTAGGTTTTTTTTTTCTCCCCCAAACAGAAGGAACTGCAATGGCTGCTCAGAAGAGGGAGGCCAGAACTGTTCTGGGTCGCAGAGATGATCCTCTGGAGAACTGCACACAGAAACAGTTTGTCAGGATTTAATGGAGCTGTGGTGGAAGGACACCAAGAGTTTCTGGTTCAGAGGAAGTGTCATGTAAAATTGACTTTTTTCAGCTTTACATCATGTTAAAATGTCATTCCCTCATCGAAAACAAACCTCGAGTGTTGCCTTGATTCTTTCACACATGTTTGAGAAATCCTTTAATCTCCCGTGGACCTAGCTCCGCCTTCGAGGACGAAGCTCCCCCTCTGAGTTTTCAAGCTTCCGCCTCAAAGAGCAAACACCCCGACTCAGTTCCTCCAGACTAGCCAGCAGCAATTAGCAAACTGTGCGTCTTCTGAGCTAATTTTCGGAGCTACTTCTTAGTGTAAAACTGGTAAAAATGTTAAAGGGTTAATAGAGGAGCCTGCAGAAAGAGGAGTTTCTTAAAGAGACAGAGGCCATCTTTCAAGGCGTTAAATTACAAAGAACAATTTCTTTCAAGTCATACTTGATGCACACATATATTTTTATAACACCTGAAGATAAAACAGATACTTGATTGTGCTATGAAAGCGTTCTAAGTGTCTGGGAAAATACATAATGCTGCCCCTTTAAATGCATTTCTTCAACCCATGTGGACCAGATGCAGAAGCTTAGTATATTTTTTTAAAAGGTGACACTCTAAATATTTAACCAGGCAGTCAAACGTATGGTGAATGAACCATTTTGTAGTTATTGATGTGGGATCACATAGAAATCTAACTCCTTTTCATCTTGTTTGGATTTTTATTTTGTAGCTGTCTATGGAGGGCTAAAGATATGGACTTGGATGTCAGATGATACAAGTTTCAGTAATCCAGTTTACGAACAGGCTCTAATATTTAACCAGAAAGAGGAATCTGCGTTGCCTGCCTGCGGCTCAAGGGTTTGTTCTCTTCTTTCATTTTAGCTTCTTTAGACCAGCAATCTTCACCTGCGCTGCCTCATCACCTCCATGTGCTTCACCTGATCAGATGAGCTCTTGACTTCTCCACTGCTCAGTTTCTACGTCCTGATTAACATCTGCTCACCACGGTGCTGCTTGATGCTACGGGATGAACCTAAAAATGAACCAACAGCATTTCTGTCACAAAGGACCTGCGATTTATTTAGAATTTTTTTTTTTTTTTTTCAGAACATGAATTGTTCGCTCGGTGTCGGACAGAATTAGGCTTTTCACTCTTGTGGGCGTAATGTGACTTTAAGGAGAGTCAACCAGACTCAGTAGCTGACACTATTCATATGTTCCTGAACTGCACATCCATTTGTCACGCTGTGAAACACAGATTCATACTGAGCACATCGCAGTGTGAAGGCAGCAGACGGAGAAGGAGAAGAAGCGCTATTCAGACGAATCATGGTGGGAAAACAAACGCATAAATCTGTTTTTTGTGGCCTTCAACTGTTTTAATCTGAGCAGCTTTGGTTCACGTGGCTTAAAGTTTTGGACACCAACATTTGAATGTAAATTCAAGCTACAAACTTTATCACTGTTGCTATGGGTGACCATCCATCTAGAGCAGTGGTTCTTAACCTGGGTTCGATCGAACCC